TAGAAACTACTCACACGGTGGCGGATACGGCTTGCTTAATATTCGAGGGTTCAGAATTCGACCCCCGGTCGACCCGTCGGTGAGCTGTCAAAGAATAAAACCATTATTTGGGGATCTGGAGCCATCCTGATCAGGAAGAATTATAGAGGCTTTGATTGACCTTGACCACACCTGCCAAGTCCACCAGTGAAAAAACTTCTACAATACAATGTCTCTAGTACGAATCAACTCAGAATTCGACTACTTGTTACAGTACATATACGTGTCTGTCTGTCTGTCTGTCTGTCTGTCTGTCTGTCTGTCTGTCTGTCTGTCTGTCTGTCTGTCTGTCTGTCTGTCTGTCTGTCTGTCTGTCTGTCTGTCTGTCTGTCTGTCTGTCTGTCTGTCTGTCTGTCTGTCTGTCTGTCTGTCTGTCTGTCTGTCTGTCTGTCTGTCTGTCTGTCTGTCTGTCTGTCTGTCTGTCTGTCTGTCTGTCTGTCTGTCTGTCTGTCTGTCTGTCTGTCTGTCTGTCTGTCTGTCTGTCTGTCTGTCTGTCTGTCTGTCTGTCTGTCTGTCTGTCTGTCTGTCTGTCTGTCTGTCTGTCTGTCTGTCTGTCTGTCTGTCTGTCTGTCTGTCTGTCTGTCTGTCTGTCTGTCTGTCTGTCTGTCTGTCTGTCTGTCTGTCTGTCTGTCTGTCTGTCTGTCTGTCTGTCTGTCTGTCTGTCTGTCTGTCTGTCTGTCTGTCTGTCTGTCTGTCTGTCTGTCTGTCTGTCTGTCTGTCTGTCTGTCTGTCTGTCTGTCTGTCTGTCTGTCTGTCTGTCTGTCTGTCTGTCTGTCTGTCTGTCTGTCTGTCTGTCTGTCTGTCTGTCTGTCTGTCTGTCTGTCTGTCTGTCTGTCTGTCTGTCTGTCTGTCTGTCTGTCTGTCTGTCTGTCTGTCTGTCTGAGAAGCTGCACCTTTTGTTTACTGCTGATAAGAGATGTGCGTAAATGGTGGGTGATTCACGCCGAATAGTTGAACCAAACATTTTGTTGATAGAACGGATCGGATTTAATGAGAACTCTTCTAGAAGCACATGGTTTACTATCCAAGTCAAATAGCTGAACATTCGACCGGAGCTCACGAACAAGCTGAAAAAACCCCTCTCACCAAGCGCAAGCCTTATCCAGACCACCGCTGACAATCGGGATGATCCTAGAGTGGTAAAACAAAACTCTAACCGGAAGTGGTGAGGCGATGATAATTGATCGTCCAAGCCTATCCACTCAGAAGGGCTTGATCTGTGCAATTACATTGAAGAAGGGACCGCTAGATATAGAGGAGTAGATCAGACGGACAGAATGGGTAGCGAAATCGACTTAATTGATACACATATTGATTGACTTCATCCATCATTTTATCGCTTTTTAAATTGAAAAAAAACATGGCTGATGAGATACATACGTGTTAAAAGTCTGCGAGTCACGTCTTCCTGACGCTCTGTTGCACAGACACATTGAGAAGGGTCAGAAATGCTATGACATGTTCACAGATGTCTGCCTGTGAGCCGCTGGGCTTTCAGCGTTTCTGGCACATACTTTTTGAGGTAAAGTGTTAAAAGTCTGCGGGTCACGTCTTCCTGACGCTCTGTTGCACAGACACATTGAGAAGGGTCAGAAATGCAATGACACAGATGTCTGCCTGTGAGCCGCTGGGCTTTCAGCGTTTCTGGCACATACTTTTTGAGGTAAAGAGACATTAAACCAAACTTGACCTCATGATAATTCCTCCATTTATTTGCTCACTCCGCCTATGTACTTTCGACTCTCCACCTGTTTTGCCTATCTGTACCCGGCACTCACTTCGCCGCAAGGGCCGCCCCGTGCACGGCTAGGTTACTCACCCATGTGCGTTCGTGTCCCGTTTGCTGAGCCTACCTTGATTTGTATTTTCGTGAGTTCCGTGTGATCGAGAATCCGGAGACTGTCTTCGGAAGGGACGACCGCAACCCACGCTACTGAGCCAACATTCCTCCACTCCCCGTTGTTTGGTGTGCGGACTTTCTCACTGCACTGTGCCGGATAATGCCGGACTTGAGCACTTTTTGGCGTTACGAACGTGGACACTTCAGGTTTATTGCATACATTTGCTTACCTTTGTGTAAATAGTACCGTAGAATTTCGAACCCAATTCTTCCTTTTGAAATTCCGGTTTGTGGAACCTACGCGTTACTCAAAGTTCCGTATCGGGAACCTCAACAAGAGGAGTGTGGCAGTTGTTAGCCAGGGAAGGCGTCAGTTTTTTTCCAGGGGGTTGGGGTAGATTCTTGGGTAAACGTCTCAAGGGCTGGTTTTCACTTCGTCCCTGGCTTCAGATACAAATGCATTTTTGTCGTCCAGTGCACTTTTCGGTTACGTTCGCCATCACAATTTTATCAGGGTACTCACGGCCAACTTGATATACAATTTCTGGAGTATACATATGGTACTCATATGTGATACAAGTCGAAATGGCTAGTGATCCATAAATGTGACATACCGTTGAGATGTATTAGCATCCCAGTGTAGTTGTACGAAAGCATACATTTTGTTAACTTTGACTTGTAAGCTGGACCCAAGTTGGAAGCAGTTCTTCTCCAACTCTAATGGGGTTCATGATGATCTCCTGTTGCGGACTATACGAACGGGGATAGCCCCTTCCGCTCAGAGCATACCAAGTGGATATGTCTTAGTTTTCAGTCACAGCGGTTCACCGGTGTCCAATGGTTAGATCCCAAAAACTTTGTCACAACCTACTACACCAATTTCGCTGCCTTCAAAGACAACGAGTGCAATGATATGGACATGTGTTGCGGGCGAATGATGTCCAAGCCTTCAAGCAAACGTTTACACAACGTTGCCATGGTTGGCACCGTCACTCCAGGGGATAAATAAAAACCTAGATGAGTAAGGTAAAGGGTGTCACGAAGCAACGGTCGTTAATTGTGAGGATCCGGTGGCCGATTGCCGTTCCTGGGCAGTGTTTATCCAAGACATTTCTAGAGCTGAGCCATCCTGTACGGGTGATCATCACCAGAAAGTGTAGTAAGAAACTTGTCCGCAAAAAAACATTTTTATTTCACTGCGGTCGGTCAGTAGTATCGAAACTTCGTAACTGGCTAGAATACTGGGCTCATTTCCAGATAAGCCCAGCCGCTCACACACAAACCATCGAATCTCTTTGGCACGTCTACAAGGCGCAGAATAAACGCCAATGCGGCACACATCGATCTTTAGTGGACAGCTACTTGTGTGAGTTCGGTTGGGGACAAAGGCACCGAAAAACTGACCTTTTCATGCCAATTAATGGTGATTGGGTGGTGGAGGTTAATTTTTTGGCGGGCTTATCTGGAGAAGACTCGAATACTGACGTCACATTTTATGCCAGCCAGCAAGACCAGCTGCAAAAATGTTCATTGGGAACCCGAGGATATCGACTCAGAATGTATCGTTGCAGCCAATTCTCAACTTTACTGATTTCAGCCGATATTTAAAGCGTCTAAACCACTAGTGGAATTTTCAACGTCACATCACCATATAACAGAAGAAGACATCCTGAAATCCGCCCGAACTACTGACAGGTCTGCATCAGTAGTATATATCATATCATGTGTGTAAAATGCCACCTTGTATATGAATTTTCAGGATTCAATCTATACTCATGAAACGGTAAATCATACCGGGAACTTTGTGGATCCAACGACTGGAGCACACACACAAAACATCGAATCACTTTGGCACGTCTACAAGACGCAGAATTTACGCCAATGCGGCACACACCGATCATTGGTGCGTCAGCTACATGTGTGAGTTCGTTTAGAGGCAAAGGTACTGAAAAACGGATTTTTTCATACAAATTATTAATAAGTGGGTGGTGGGGGTTAATTTCTTAGCGGGGCTTATCTGGAGAAGATCCGAATACTGACGTCACATGTTATGCCAACCAGCAAGACCAGCTGCAAAAATGCTCATTGGGAACCCGAGGACATCGACTCAGCATGCATTGTTTCAGCCCGTTCTCAACTTTATT